CAATGCCTAACAGAGCTCCAGGTGACACGGGCTGATGTCACAATGCCATGCGCTGCATCACAAGCAGATCTTCCCCGGGGCAGTGGCAGGGCCGGCACTTCCCTGCAGGGCCTGGGCGCTGCTGCAGCACTGCTCAGGGGCTCTGTCCTTCTGCGACCAGGAGTTGATTCCGGGGCAGCCAGGCTGCTCTGGGTGACCCTCACTGACGCGTGGAGGAGCAGGGGCGCTTTGCAGAGAATTGTTGGTTGGTTGAGGAGCCTTGTTGGCGGAGGGCATCCTTAGTTCTGAACTGAGGCTGTCGGCAAGCCGCATGGAAGGCTGCTGGACTGTGAGCGTCAGCTCGGAGCTGGCCTACACGTTCCCAACGCTGCTGGAACTCTCTGCTGAAGGTAAGGCTGTCCGGACCCCCTTCCCAAGGCATCGCGCGGGGCTGCTTGCTGTCCAAAGCCACAGCTCCTGCTCTCTGCGCTTGGCTGGACGTGGCTGGGGGCTGCTGCGAGAGCCCTGCCCAAGGGTCCCGCTGGGCTCTGGGGACCACGTGGCAGCCAGGTCCCGAGAGCAGAGCTGCCCAGAGCCCCCGCTTCCTTTAGGCATGCTCGGTCCTCTGTGATAGGGCAGTCCGAGGCCAGGTTTCCCTGGCAGACAGTGTTTCCGGAGGTTGCAGCTCTGGGAGGAAAGGCATCCCGTGTCCCAGAGGCTTCCTATGTCCCCGTTTCCCCTTGGGGCTCCGAATAAGGCTGAAATCGGAGCAAAGCCCAGCTCCGGTAGCCATGGTGGTGCTTTTTTGGGGTGTGTGCATGTGCCTGCACCGATTGCTGTCTGTGTGAGGAGCTTGCCAAGCAGCTGTGAAGAGGCTGGCTTGGAGCCTGACTTGTCTTTTCTTTCCTTTGCAGAGATTGGGGCAGTCTGGGACGCTGTGTCTGATTACATCCTGGAACAGATGAAGCTGGACAAGGTGGGCTGGTGTGCTGGTGACCCTCGCGCTGGAGAGGGGTTCAGTCCTGCCGAGAGTGTGGGCCCTGCAGAGCAATCCCTCCCTGAGCACCACACTGAGCAGCATGCTGAGCCCAAGCCGGGTGCCCAGAGCGGCTTGTTGGCCAACTGGGAGGGAAAGCCAAGGCCAGAGCTGCTCTGAGCAAACGTTTGGCACACGCAGGGGCTTCGCTCTGCCCTGGTCAGAACGGGGAGAGCAAAGGGAGAAATGGGTGGGGGGTTTTTCTGGCCCTGTGCCGAGGATAATCCTTGGGATCAGTCCCAGGCTTCAGCCCTGTGCTGTCCATGCCCGGGCTCTTCTCTAGCCGAGGGATGTTGGGAAATACTGTGCGGAGGTGACTGTCTTGCAGGGAGCACAGACTTTTCCAATGCTTTCCAGAGAGCCCCATCTCACCCCGCTGTCCATCAGGAGTGGGGAGGGTGGAGAGCAGTGACCCCACGCTCCTGATGTTCGTGGCTTTTGCCGCCCCTAAAGTACACGCTCGTCAGCCTTTCTGTCTTTTCCCTGTGCAGGGAGTCCTGATTCCGGGACTCGGGGTCTTTGCTGGGGTCCGAGAGCAATTCCACAGCAAAGAAGAGGCGCTTTCGGTTCTAAGGCCTGTCTTCCAGCTGGACATCGGGGTGCTGTGGCTGCAGGAACTCCAGTCTCCCAACGACATCATCCCTGGTGAGAAGGCAGCAGCCACCTTCCCCTTCCCGCCCCACGTCCGGCCGGCTGTGTTCTCCCTGCTCTTTGGAAACGGCCGGGAGCAGTGGAGAAGTGTCTGCAAAGCTCGGGGTGCAGCGCGAGTTCCTCCAGGAGGAACTGCAGCCCAAGAGCTGTTTCTCCAAAGCACCTTTTCTGTGGGATTTGGTTATGAATGCTGCATGGGCTGGCTGTGGCAGTGAGGATGTGCCTTCTCCTTGCAGACAATGTCAAGATTGAGCCACTCAACTACCGGCAGCTCTCGCGAGCCTCCGGCGTCCCACTGCACTTGGTGTCGCGCTGCGTGCGGGAGAGCGTGCTCCTGTACTGTCACCTCCTGAGGAGCAGGGAGCCCGTCTCGTTCGTGTTCAAGAACCTCGGCGTTATGACCTGCCAAGACGGCTTCCTCCTCATGAGGTTCTTCTGCAGCTGCATTGAAACGCTGGAGAGCAATGCCCCCGTCCTCGCACTGATCCACACCGTAAGTTGAGGAGGTTGTGAGGTGCGCCGTCGGATCACCGCTGGCCAGCCTGGACGTGGCAGACCAGTCCAGTGCCTTTCCCCACGCTTGCCCCCACGGCTTTCTCCACTGGCAAAGAGATTTCCTGGATCTCTGCCCATGCAGAAAGCCTGGCAGTGCTCTTGCACGGCCTCGCTATTTTGCCATCCTGCTCCTTCAGAGCAGAACAAAGCTCTGATGTTCACGGAGGAGGCTTTGGTGGAGAGCAGCTTTCTCTTGGCATGGGAGCCAGGCTTTCTTCCTGTCAAGAAGAGCCATGAAAAAATGTCCTTGGCAAGCCTCCAGCAGGTCTGTGTCCCTTTGCAGAGATTCTGGACGGACGATTCTGCTGACTTCGGGCCAGAGACCGCTGCCTATGGCATCCGCGTGTTCCCGAGGTGAGTGCATTTCCTCTGCAGCACTTAGCTGGCCAGCAGACAGGCTTCCTTCCACCTCCTCCTTTGGGTTGTGCCCTGCTGGGTCTCCGTGCTCAGCCTCCAGTCGGGGAGAAATGCTGGAAAGTCTGGCTCCTGGTTCTCCACTGCTGCCTTTTGGCTTTTTGGGGAATCAGGGTTGTGTTTCTGGTGCCCAAGCTGTCCCGATTTCCCTCAGAGAGAACGGACTGCACGTGCAGAGGAATTTGGGCTACGTGTGCTGGTTTGGCATGGCCAGGAAGGAAAAGGGTGCCACGCTCTGCAGAGCACAGGGATAAATACCACCAACCAGCTGCGTGGGGCAGGAGGTCATCCTTCTTCAAGGGTTGTCACTCTCTGTTTCCAGGTTTCAGCTCACTGTGGAAAAGAGCAGAGCAGAGGCCGCCGCAGAAAAAAAAGCTGCCATACAGCGGAAGATGAGTAAAGGTGAGGAGCGGGTCCCAGCTGTAGGGAGGGGGGTCCTGTCCCGGGCCGGGTGACCGGATCCAGGTTCACGTGCCGTGCCCGTGGGGCTGCTCTGAAGAACTTCTTTCTCTCTTGGTTCCAGGGGTCTCTGCCGGCAGGCTGCTGCAGAGGCGGAAGACACTTCCCCCCTCCATGCTGCTGCAGCGCAAGCCGAGCTCAAGGCAGCAAGATGTGGCGAAGGAGCCTTCTGGCAGGTGAGGGCCTTGGGCGAAAAGAAGGAGATGCGTGCGCTCGTGTAGGAGCGGCCTCCCCTTTGGAGCTGCCAGCTCTCGGCACCCACAAAGGCTCCTGACACACGTGTGTTCCGGGGGGGCCGTTCTTTCCAGGGCGGCAAGCGCACAGCACGATCGCCTGAGGCAGACACACCAGCTTTGTTCTACTCTGGTCCCCGGTCCCTGGGGGAGCTGAGTGCTGATCCCTACCAATAGCAGAAGCTCTTCTCCCTTCAGGGGTCTCTCTGCTCTGCACCGGAGCCCATCTTGATGGCTGTGGGAGCACGGGGGAAATTGAGGTGCCCCGGGCTCCTGCAGACTCCTCTTGTGTCTGTTTGCAGTGCGCTCCCGCCGTGTGCAGGCAGCTCCCGTGGGACAAAGAAAGCGGGACAGAAGGAAACATCTGCTGCCCAGACCAGCGCTGCACTCCCTGCCACCGAGGAGTCTAAGAGAGTGCTGCAGGTACCGGCTCTGCCTTGCTGCAGGGACTGTGCTGCTTGAGACTGCACCAATGATAGGATGGTAGAATCCTAGGAAAGTTTGGGTAGGGAGGGGCCATTCAGACCGCCTGGTTCCAATCCCCTGCTGCAGGCAGGGACACCTGTCTCTAGACCGGGTTGCTCTAAGCCCGACCAGCCTGGCCTTGAGTGCTTCTGCAGGGAGGGAAGCAAAAGCCTCTGTGTGTGCAGTGATCTGGAGCACAGCCCTTCGGGTGCCACCGTTTCACATTTCTGTCCGCTCCTTCAGCTCCTCTTTGGTAGATGGAGGGTGCTGCACACTTTCCCCGTCTCTTCTCGCCTCCTGGCCTGCCACCTGCCACAGCACTGATTTTGAGCAGGGGCCGTGAGAGAGGAATACGGCCTCTGAGCCACATTGGCCACGAGTTGCGGATCCCGGCCTGCCTTTGGGGCCCCTGGTCCTTCAGGGGCAAAGCAGTGCCGACAGGCCGGCAGAGGAGAGGAGCAGGGACAGGCTGGCAGAGGAGAGGAGCAGGAGTGGGGAGCTGAAGGAAGGCCCCAGGGGCAGAGGCTGATCCTGTTTGCTGCTGTGTCTCTGCAGGAGCTCCGCAAAGAGTCTGCCCTGTGGAAAGAAGCAGACCACACGTGGCCCATGCACCAACAGCAAATAGAGCGAGCACAGGCAGAAATGGCGGCATGGGAAGGCTGGAGCGCAGGGGAGGACCAGCATCCGCCCCAGGTACTGTCAAGGATCGACCCTGCTGGCAACAGCCGCTGAGCCAGGGTGCGAGCTCAGCAGGGCGCAGGGGGTGGGAGCGGGACGGGCGCCGTGCAGCATGGCAGGGGCTGGCCCACTCCTCCCGGGAGGAGAGCTTGGCACGGCCCCGCAGGGAGAAGGGAAGGGCGGCGGGAGCCGTGGGCCGGCAGGGCCGTCTCCTGCTTGCCGGGGCCTGCTGCAGGGCCCTTGGCAGAGGGCCTCTGGGGAACAGCCCCATGCTCCCAGCCGCTTTGCTGACAGCGTCTCCTCTTTGGCAGCTGCTGGCCAGGGAGAGAGTGCGTGTTCCGCATCCTCCAGCCCAGCCCAGGAGACAGCAAGTGGGAAGGAGATGGAGGAAGGACGAGGGTCTGCTGCCAGGAAGTATAATGGGGACGGCGACCAAGCTGACACTGCATGCTGAGTGAGTGTGTGTGGGCTCTGCCGGCTGCCTGAGGCTCTCGGGCAGCTGTGACTGCAGCTCAGTGACAGGCACGGCCCGGGCCAAAAACTGCTGGCGGGGCGCAAGGCTGGGGACACGCGGGGGGCAGCAGGGGGCGCGGGGCTGGGTGAGGGCAGAGGCAGGGGCGGCTCAGCGGAGCCTGAGGGATGACTTTCTCCTCCTGTTGCAGCCTCCTTTCCCCGCGAGCGGCTCAGGTGCTCCGAAGGTTGGAGCCGCACCTCCGTCAGCAAGAGGCTTTTGCCGGCACAGCGGAAAGAAACCGGCAGAAGCTGGAGCAGAAGCGGCACCTCCTCCGGTGAGCTCCATAGGCAGCAGATACCGAGAGCCGGGCTGCAGCCCGGCCTGCACCACTTGCCTGCGCTCAGCCCTAACGCTCCGTGCTCTTCTCGCCTCCCTAGGGCTGAATGCTCGCACGGCTCCAGAGGGGAAGGTGCAGCCATCGGTGGTGACCGCGGTGGAGCTCTCGGCACGGGGGCTGGGAAGCCGTCCAGATTTCCACCTGTGAATGGAAGATTGTAGAAAACCAAAGACTCGTAGAACGGCCTGGGTTGAAAAGGGTCTCGAAGATCACCGCCACCGGGCTGCCCAGAGCCACATCCAGCCTGCCCTCGGATGCCCGCAGGGATGGGGCGTCCCCCAGCTCTCAGCAAGCTGTTCCAGCACGTCACCACCCTCCATGTGAAGAACGCCTGCTGACATCTAACCAAATTCTGCCCCCCTTTCACAGTTTAAAACCCTTCCCCCTTGTCCTGTCACCATCCGGCCTTGTCAACGGCCGTTCCTCCTCTACTCTACAGCCTCCCTTCAAGAACTGGAAGGCCGCAGTGAGGTCTCCCCGGAGCCTTCTCCTCACCAAGCTAAACAAGCCTGGTTCCCTCCACCTTTCTCAACAGGAGAGGTGCTCCAGGCCTCTGATCACCTTAGGGGCCCTCCTCTGCACTTCATCCAAGAGCTCTGCGTCTTTCTTCTACCGGGGACCTCAGTTTTGGATGCAGTATTCCCAATAAAAATGAATTGGCTTTATTTCCACTCAGTCTGCTGATGTCGTGTCTGTCGCCATCAACTGACGCGAGGAAGCTGGAGCCGTTTGGGTGGTTTGAGAGAACAGTTTGGGTGGCAAGGAGAGCCGCTGCCAAGGCCCGGCAGGACCATGCTCTGCCGGCCGTGCACGTTTCCTGTGCACAAGTCATGCATCCCCTCGTATCCCCATCGCTCCCTTCCCGCAACAGAAATAGAAACGCTGTGGCAGAATTCTCTTGTGCCCAGCACCCAGACTCTGCTGAGCTGAATTCAGCCCGTGTGACACGAGAAAGGTTCTCATGCCAGGGAATGGAAGGGGACGGGGGGGGAGATGGTGTAATGAAAGAGAAGGGAAAGGGGGGAGGACAGCACGAGGGAACGAAAGGGGACCGGGGGGAAACACCGCAAGGGAGGGGAAGGGAAGGAAAGCGGGGGGAGACGCTGCAAGGTAACGGAAGGGGACGGGGAGCTGAAGGGAAGGGGAGCGAGAAGAGACAGAGCCGGCGGCTTCGGCGCTGACCAATGAGAGGTTGGCCGGGGGCGGGGCGGCGCCGGCACTGACCAATGAGAGGCCGGGACGGGCCGCCGCTGTCGCCCCGGGCCGATGGCAGCCGGCACAGCCTGCGTGCAGCCGCTTCCGAAGCCGGGGCGCCGCGGGAGCCCGGAACGGACTCGGAGGGGCGGGATGCGCACAGCGTCTCTGGGCAGCCCGTGCCAGCAGCTCACCAGCTTCTAAGGGAGAACTTGGAGCTGTGCGTGCGCCTGTGACCGCGCCGGGTGTTTATCGCAGCTCGCACCCGTCCTCCTCCCACCACCCGACTCTCGGGAGCCCGGACCCCATGGCTCGGCCGGACGGTGGCGAGACGTGAGGGTCGGCGGCGCCCCCACCGCCCGGATCCGCCCCGCCGATCGGCCTCGGTTCCTTTGTCTTTCCCGCCCTGTTTTTTTTTTCTCGGCTCAACTATTCTCTTTGGACACCTGAACTCTTACTCATCATGAGCAGAGGGTGAGAAATCTTACTCAAAATCCACAACGACAAACGATGCTTCCGTGCTGATTGCATTCCATGCCACAGAACGGCCACAAACTCCGTCAGCCAAGTACTGGCAGAAAAGAAGAGTACCGGTCTATCTGAGCCAAAGCCTTGCCTGCACCCTCAGAGCCAGCTGACTGATGCAAAGCTATGGGCAGCTCCCTGCTACAGGAACGGTCTGGTGAAATTCAGTAGACAAAGACCATTTGCAGCCCTGGACAACAGCAAGTGCCTGAGCCCCTGGACTACTGCGAGAGCATTTCACAGTCATTGCTGCGCTGGGCTGCAGTGCGATTAAAGCAAGGAGGGAAAGCAGTGTTGCCTAACCATAGCATGGCCGGATGAGGTGGAATGGAAACTCTTAAAAGCCAACAGCGCCTTTGTAAATGCTGAGCTCTGCCAGCAGGGTGCTGCTCTCAGACTCTCAGGTATTCTTTGGAGCTGGATGATCCTTGAGCTCCCTTCCATCCCAAGCCATTCTATGAGGATTCTGGGATTTCCCCAACTCCAGTCGTAAGCACTGGAGGACTGGGCCAAATCTGATGGAGTTTAATGCACTCCACTTGTTCAGCTTGCTCAATTTGGGGATTAAGGACCCTCTTGAAAAGCCACGTTCTGATGAAGCTAGCACTAGCACAACCAGACCTCTGCTGGTCCACCAGGGACGCTGGCTATTCTCATCCTCGTACTGACTTGCAGGAGAACTGCCTTTGCCTTCCCTCATTCTCACTGCCTACAAAACACCAGCCATACGCCCCGTGCTATGCATGAAGGATCATCAGCGCAGAGGATAAGGTGGGATGGATAAGGGAGGTATTAAACACGGAACACACCCAAAAAAGGACTCTATTTTGCTTCCCCGAACCATCATATGGAACATCCATACCTGGCTTTGGCACCGAACAGATGAGAGCCTCAGGAACTTTGTTGTTAATGAGTTCCACACACTCTGCAGGGAAAAATCCAACCTGTAACAAGAGCAAAAAGAGAGGTGCGATACTGAATGCAGCATTTCTCAGGCCTGAACGCTTCAACCAAAAACCACGGAACGTTTTCCTCGGAACGTGCTTGCCGGACGCTCCGCAAGGCTATCCAGCACAAAAAGGCCTGCGGCAAAGTAACAAGCATTCCACATTCACAGCCAAAAGATCCAGAAAACAGCCTACGGAGCAGGGAGGGGACAAGTATGGTCCTTCAAGGTCCTTCTTCCTATAAGATCTTCCCCCTCTGCTCTGCCCTTGTATGTCCACATCTGGAGCACTGTGTCCAGTTCTGGGCCCACTGGTACAAAAAGACAGGGATCTCTTGGAAAGAGTCGGGCGGAGGGCCACACAAACGGTGAGGGGCCTGGAGCATCTCCCCTATGAAGAAAGGTTGAATGAACTGGGTCTGTTCAGCCTTGAGAAAAGAGGACTGAGAGGAGACCTGATCCAGGTCTATAAATATCTACGGTGTGGGGGCAGAGTGGTAAACCCAGACTGTTTTCAGCAGTGTGCGGAGAAAGGACAAGGGGGAATAGCCAGAAGCTGCAGCATAAACTGCGGAAGTTCTACACAGATGTGCACAAGAACTTCTTTACAGTGCGGTGACGGAGCGCTGGAACAGGCTGCCCAGGGAGGTGGTGAAGTCTCCTTCTCTGGAGATGTTCAAGACCTGCCTGGACACCTACTTTTGCCACCTGATGTAGAGAACCCACTTTGGCAAGGGTGGAACTCGATGATGTCTGGAGGTCCCTTCCAACTCTTATGATTCCGTGATTCCATAAACCTTAACACTAAAACAGATTGCTAATACTTACCTTAAAATCTAATCTAAAACAGTAAATCTAAAGCCCGTGCAGAAGGGTAACTCTTCACAATTAGCAGTAATACTGAATAGTAGCACTTAACCGTAACCCAAAGCGGGATCAGGCTGAGCTTGTCTGCTTCCAGAGCTTCGCTTCGTGTAAAAAAATGAAGAATGCTCTGAATGCTGTGTCCATGCCTTTGGATCGAGCGACAATTCGATGCGCTGTGCTTCTCCGTGGCTCCACGTCTGCATTCTGTGGTGACAAGAGTTGAAGGGAAAACGCTCTGAAGAGGGAAGGGGAAATGCGAGGAGCGACAGATGTTGTGCTCCTTGGGAGCACAATCGAAATAGTCGGGAGCGCTGTAGTCTGCACTGTGTACAGAAAAAAACCCGTTAAAAGGACCGCAGAAGGCAGGCAGACTTCGCAAGTTCTCGGCATCGGAATGGCACTACGCGCTGCCACGGTTTGTAAGTGGCACTCGCGGCGAACTGCTCCGGAGCGCTTGCTGTTGCTGCATGAAAAAACATGCTTCGCTGCGAATGCAGCTTGCAGCCTCCAGCAGCGCTCTCGTTTTTCTCGGTCACTGGGAATGGTCGACTGCAGTCGGCTGCTTTTCTCCAAGTAGCGGGCTCTTATGCACATGTGCAAGAGGAGATGTTTGGACTTCGCCTCGTGTAAAAATACGAACGTTGCCCTACGCCTGGCTCAGAAGGTTGTTTCCATGACTTTCTATCGAGAGACATTTCGTGGTAGTGAGTTTATCCCTGGCTCCAAGTCCGCAATCTGTGAAGACAAGAGTCGAAGGGATAACAATCTGTAAAGAGGGAAGGGGAATAGCAAGGTGCGACAGATCTTGTGCTCTTTGGGAACACATTCGAAAAAGTTGGGAGCGCTGTGGTCTGCACTGCGGAGAAAAAACACCTTTTCGACAGGTCCGCAGAAGGCAAGCAGAATTCGCAATTTCTCGTCGTCGGAATGGCACTACTTCGCTCTCGCTGTTCAAAAGCGGCACTCGCAGCGAACCGCTCCGAATCGCTTGCACTCGCAGCCGAGAATTCGCTATTCTCCCTGAATGCCGCTTGCAGCCTCGAGCAGCGGTCCCGTTCTTCTTGGTCGCCGGGAAAGGTCGAGTGCAACCGGCGTGTTTTCTCCCAGTAGCGGGCTCTTCTGCGCACATAGGAACGGAGCGGTTTGGACTTCGTCTCGTGTAAAAATAAGAAGAACACTCTACGCCTGCCAAGAAGGTTGTGTTCATGCCTTTTGATCCAGCGACAATTCGTGGTAGTGTGCATCTCCGTGGCTCCACGTCTGCATTCTGTGATGACAAGAGTCGAAGGGATAAGCCTCTCTGAAGAGGAAACCAGAAATGTGAGCAGCGACAGAAGCTGTGCTCTTTGGGAGCACAATCGTAAATGTCCAGAGCAATGTAGATGCACTGCGGGGAGAAAATACCCCGCCTGAAGGACTGCAGAAGGCAGGCCAAACTAGCACGTTCTTGGCATTGGAATGGCACTTCTTCCCTCACACTGTTCGAAAACAACACTGGGGGATCCACTCCGAATCGTTTGCACTTGCCTCTGAAAATTCGCTATTCTCCCCGAATGCCGCTTGCAGCCTTCAAATGTGGTCTCATGCTTCTCAGTCGCCGGGAAAGGGCGACTGCAGTCGGCTGCTTTTCTCCCAGTTGCATGCTCTTCTGCGCACGTACAAACAGAGATGTTCAGACTTCGCCTCGTGTAAAAATGCGAAGATTGCACTGCGCCTGGCTCTGCGTCACCATATGCCTCATCTCTTATGCCTTCAAGGTGGCACTGTGGAAAAGGTTACGTTTTTTTAATGGGGGAGCATTAGCACAGCTCTGCTGGGTTTAATAGGGGAACACTGGAACAACCCTGCATGGATTAATGGTGGCACATTAGCACATCTCTCTGGGTTTAATGGTGAGACTTTGGCACACCTCTGCTGGGTTTAATCCGGCACAGCTTTGTTGTTCTTAATGGTAACGCAATGGACAGCTCTGCTCTGTTCCATAGTGATACCTTGCACAGCTCTGAAGGGTTGAATGGTGAAACACTGCAAACATATGCTGGGTTTCATGGAGACACACTGGCCCATCTCTTCTGGGTTTCCCGGTGAAGCATTGCACAGCTGTGCTAGGTTGAATAGTGGCATAGCTCTGCGAGGCTT